GCCGCAAATTATCCTGCAAATTATCCTGAGATAGCTTGAATGTTTCCTCCTGGGCTACAAATTATCTTGCAAAATAAAAATAAAATCGGTCGCTCGATCGCCAGGCAAAATAAATGTCAGAGCTCCTGATGCTCGTTGTTCAGTCTCTTGCACTAAAAAGATACCTGAGCCACAGAAAAACCTTTGATCCCCTGTCTCAAGATCAAATGTTATGCTATGCAAAAATGCCAAAAATGCAAAGAAAATATAAGCCAAGTACAAGAAACGGTTGGTCAAATTTTGGGGTACAAAACATCTGGGGGCAATCAAGCCAGGAATGAATTTACTATCAGTAGTATTAATTCAGAGTTAAACTCTCCCGTTTATAACCATTCACTTAATCCCTACCCAGTATAACTTCTACCTAGAAATCATCATCTAGATAAGAGAAACTCATCTAAATTCCTAAATCCCCTCAATGATATCTAACAGTCACGACCTCCGGTGACTGTATCAAACTGTTCAATTGAAAGACACTCATTTCAACACAATATTCAGTCAAGACTCTTGACTAACAATAATACTTGAATTTTCTTAATAGTTTCATCCAAGTACAACATAAAATTCATTACCTACCGATTTCTGAATATGTAAAACTATGTCTACCACAATGTATCAAACCTGATATAGAGGTGACTTACAAAACAAGAAAGTCAAATGACTCTTAAAACCCTAAAACCTTATTATTATTATACAAAAGTATTAACAAGGAATCCTATTTTGCTCTAGGTTTTGGTCTTCCTTTTATAATCTTCAGTAGTCCATGGGCTTCGAAGTCTCTGTCCAGTCATTCCTTGATCCATGTTCTGATTGCACCTTAAATCTTGGAACAGATCTGCAACAAACATGTTGTATCAGACCAAGATGTCGAGTCCACAAGATAGGAAATCTTGTCTGACATGTTGTTCTTTACAGATTTCTTCATGTTAGAACATCTTGTTCAACATCATGTTTTACCAAAATTTGGTCAAATCTTAGATCCTTCACACGCAAACACATCAAACACCATAAAACATCATCAAATAATTATCGAGTTCAGAAACAACACTGAAAATTTGAATCGGCGCATCAAAACTGACCACCCAAACCATGACGGTCTTCTCTAGAGCCACGACGGTTGTCATAGGGATGGCGAACAACCCGCCATCCCTTTTAGCTCATTCGTCACCATTTCCTCGGTCTGCCATCACTCAAAAAGATCTTGACAGTCTTCCCGTGATTCGGCTGACAAGCGTCAGCCTCCTACAACACGTTGGCGGGTAGCCCGTCATGCAGGTGACGATTGTCACCCCTGTGTATAACGTTAAAATGTGTTTTCTTCCAATGAGCTCATTTGAAGCTTCGATTTCACACATCGAATACTCCAATCATCCAGATACGAACTATATATCAATTATAACACATACATGTTAATTTCGCACATATTCACAATTGATTCCATCAATTTATCATGGATTAAGGACATGCTCATGAAAGCTCAAACACTCGAATTAGAAATAATAATTTGCATATTTCACATACTTTCATCATGTATCAATTGGACATAGTACAATACACGAATTTCATCACAACAACATCAATCAAAATTGAATATGCATGCATTACCAATAATTCACACACAATCAATAATGACAAAATAAGAGAAAATCTAGAGGAGGATTAAGGAGTCCTCACTACCCTTTCATGAAATTAACACCCTTAATTGAGTAGTTCTCCCCCTCTCCCTTTACCTTAAGTTTCCAGCAAAAGTACTCAAGCTATGACTTCCTCTTCTTTCTCAAACCCTTGTTCTTGCCTCCAAAAGTTCTTCTCTCAATTCTTAAATACTACTCTATCTTTCTAAACTCCCTTAATCTCATCAAATAACCTAATTTCAGCTTACTAATAATATCCACATTGACCCAACTTACTTTTATTTCACATCACAATTTCACATAATTATATTTTCCACCCAAATCTTTCTATTTGTCATTTTCTATTTATATAACTAATATTTTATTATTTTAATTAAATAAACCAATAAAAGTTATAATACCCTCCCCGCACCCCACCCATACACAAACATCACATAATATATATTATCATCAAATAAATACTTAAAACATATTAAGTCATTTAAATAATTAAATAAAGCAACAAAATTCAACCAAATAAATTAAGTGAATTCGGAGTGTTACAAAGTCGGCATTTTTGAATTATTTTCTCGAAGAAGTTTATATCAAGCAACTAGTGTGCTATTAAGTAAAAGGGTGAGAAGATAAAGTCTTGAAGTTGAAGAATGTGTTGTGCGGTCTCAAGCAAGCACCGAGAGCTTGGAACGTTAGAATCGACAAGTACTTTCAAGACAAAAACTTCATCAAGTGTCCATATGAGCATGCACTTTATGTCAAAGCACAAAGTGGATATTTTTTTATTGTGTGCTTGTATGTAGATGACTTGGTCTTCATAGGGAACAATCCAAGCATGTTAGAGGAGTTCAAGAAAGACATGTCAAATGAATTTGAGATAACGGATATGGGGCTCGTGGCATATTATCTCGGCATCAAAGTAAAGCAAGAAGACAAATGAGTTTTATCACCCAAGAAGGCTATGCCAAAGAAGTTCTTAAGAAGTTCAAGATGGATGGCATCAATCCAGTTGGCACCCCGATGGAATGGGGTAGCAAGTTGAGCGAGCATGAAAACAGAGAGATTGTGGATTCGACTCTTTACAAAAGTTTGGTTGAAAGTCTACGTTACTTGACAAGTAAAAGATCAGATATTTTCTATGTTGTAGGAGTCATAAGTCGCTACATGAAAGCTCCAACAATAACTCACTTCAAGGCGGCAAAGAGATTCCTCTGATACATCAAAGGTACAACAAATTTTGACTTGCATTATTACTCTTCTAATAATTATATGATTGTTGGCTATAGTGATAGCGATTGGAGTGAAGACGTGGATGATAGAAAGAACACTATTAATTTTGTATTCTTTATGGAAGATACTGCTTTCATTTTGATGTCAAAGAAGCAACCCATCACCACACTTCCAACTTGTGAAGTCGAGTATGTCAATGTCATGTCATGTGTTTGTCATGCAATTTGGCTAAGGAACTTGTTGAAATAGTTAAAATGCCATAAGAAGATCCCATGGAAATAAGTGATAAATCAGCACTTGCTTTAGCAAAGAATCTCGTCTTTCATGAAATAAGTAAGCACATTGACACACGTTGCCATTTCATAAGAGAATGCATAGAGAAGAAGGAGGTGAAGTTTAAGTATGTAATATCTCAAGATCAAGCTGCCGACATTTTCACTAAGCCACTCAAGTTGAAAATTTTTATGAAACTAAGGAGTATACTTAGAGTCACGAATAAAGTTTAAGGAGGATGTTGAAATATTAAATTTGACTTTGGTCTAAGTTTATTATTTGTATTTTGGTTTTTTTGGTCTAACTATTTTGGACTTAGATAATTTTGGATCGTATTTCTAGAAAATTTGTATAGTGTTTGAAGTGTCAAGATATATTTTATGATTGTAATATTTTTTAGAATACTCTTGTGTCTACAGTTCTCCCTAAAGTATTATAAATAAGAATGTAATCTTACACTTTTATATCAAACAAAATACAAAATTATCTTTTCTATAAATAATGTAATAGTAAAATGTTCACCACAATAGACATGTACACACACATGATTTCTCTTCTCTTCTAAACAAATTCAGCATAGCTTCAGTAAACTAGCTACAATCAGTAACCTTCTACCCCTTAGATTCTCTGTAAATAAGATATATCACTCGAAAGTAGAAGTAAAGATTCAGCATTCAGTTCGTAGTTTTCCATCTTTCAGCATTTTAGAATTGTATCAAAATACGTCACTCAAAATTCTAATATAATCCCTTCTAAATGTGTGAAAAAAAATTTTCTTATCAGCTTGAGTGTCATCAGCTTCCTCTCTAAAAGCACAACCGATAATTTCAATTGTATCCAGAGAATGATCTGAAACAATTGGTAAACTTTAGCATCGAACTTACTATCACTTATTTTTTTATCTTCAACTTTTTATTTTTCAGATAATTTTTTTACTTATTACCCTTCAATGAATGACCAAAAACCATACATGGATTGTAAATGGAGGAATTTTTTCATATTCCACGTCTACGTAGAAGGTAGAAGGTGAACTCATAGTGTTCAAGTAACACACTTCCACGACTAACATTCTTTCAAAGTGTTCAAGATTTTTTTTCATTGTTGCATTGTATAATGCCAAAGAAACTCATATTACACCAACAATCTCAAATATTGCTTAGTCTCAAATATTCCCGAGTCCCGAGATAGGTTTTAAGAACTCAAAGATCGAATACCACAAAAATCATCCAAAGAAAAAAATGCAAACCCATAACATCTTTTGCCTAATATAATAATCGGCCATGAAGACTTGGTTTTCCAAAGCTTCATGATATTTTATTTCAGTTTAGACTTGGTTTTCCAAGGCTTCATGATATTTTATTTCAGTTTACTCATGCGCTTTGGATTCAAACCTTTTAGAAGAATATCGCATTCATGGAAATTTTTGTGACAATCAACAAGAGCCGTTTGATATTTCAATTCATTGATCTTGACCGATAAGTCATTAACCTTAATATAAGAGGAAGACCATTCTAAAAAAAAGAGAGAAAAATCAGTAAAAAATTTAATTGTATGTAGCAATTTGCGTATGCATACACCTACTTAAAATTTGACAACTACTAATTTCACAAGTTTTGTTTCCTAGTCATTCTAACAAGTAAAATTTTCCCAAGATAACTATTTAAATCATATGGATCCCCATAAAAAAGTTTGCTTTTCGATGAACTGTCAAGGTTCATACAGTGTGTTCTCATTCAAATTCACAAGGGATGTTCAGTGGTGTCAAGTCACCAACCTATATAAAGGAAGATGAAACTTTTCAGGAAAATTCACTCCCTTTCTTTATTGCATCTACCCATTAAGTCTGTAGGATCTTCCCCTGAAAACTCCTGAACTGCTCTCTTGTTGGACGTTATTAACACGAGTAATTGGTGGGGCTCCAATTCTCCATCTTGCAACCAATTTATGTCTGGAAAATAACAGTTAAAGAACACAACAAAACTAGCTTGCAGCTATTTGTCAAATTTCGTGTTCTTAGAAGTTAGAAATGAATACCAATTCAGAGTAAAATTTTATCATGAATTTTTTTAATCGAAAAAAAGAGTAAATAGAAATTTCAATTTAGGATCATGAATAAAAAAAGGATACACCCACATTGGAGTCTTCAAAATGTTTTTTCCACCTGCTAGAGGATGCAAGACTGTCAAGAAGTAGAATACATGTCCGGCAATGATACCTAACAGATCAGGCATTATGGGTGAACCAAAAATGACATCCAAAGCAAGCGTCACCCACGGAAGATAGAAGGCCTGAAAAATAATTTAACAATTAGTTTCTATATTAGACAAAGATAAGCTTCATCTAGCTCAAGTAATCTAAGCATAAAAACTAGGATAACTTCAATAATATTTAAACATACCTTAAGTGAAACAAGTCCATAAAAGCTGACAACGGCATTTGGAAATTCTCTACTCCATACATAAACAAGCATAAAAACAAGCGATACTGCCATGAACGGGGTCCAAAAAAAGGGGATTACAGACAAAACCTAGATTGCGAAGAAAGAAAATATTAGGGCCGTGAGTAAAAAATGAGACTGAAGAAATGAGAAATCAACCAAGAATGGGAACAGTTTGTTTCACAAATTAACTTTTCTGAACTTCTCGAATGCCTTTTTTCAATCAGTGTTGTTATATATGAAAGATTTAAGCCATTTTTGACACCACCTATCCTACCTAACCGGCTTTTATCTTCCTTAGTCTCCCCCTCCCATAGATCACAAATCCTCAATCACATCTTGTCATATTCCCAAATGCTAATAATCTCTCACTTACCATCAGCCATTTTGACAATGAATCAGCTATTGCTCTCTTAATAAAGCCCCATCACACCCTCACAACGATCATCACCCATCTACCCCCCCACAGTGAAACTTTCCTAATAACTTTGCATAAATCAACCACAGCCATAAGTATATCACTACATATATCTATAGTTATCCTAGTATTTAACATACATGGAGCATCTCCACAGGCAGGACGGCCAAATAATGAAGACGGGTAAAAAAAACATAAAAGTAGATCAACAAAAAGTGTGCCGCCTTTTTCTAGCTCAGAGTGATAAACATGAGCCGTGTAAATAGATACCTCAAAATTAAATTTCTAGCATTTTTGAAGGAAAAAAAAATCACATAAATAATCATTAGATGAAAAGATATATAGATGATCTCATATACCAAAAGCGCAAAGGCTCCAAATATCATCATCCACAAGAAATCAGCCGTTCTTCTGTCGAAGACTCCCTTCTCCAGTTGAACGCCATACCTCAATCTGTCGATTATGGGATGGGAACTAGTTCAGGTTAGGTAAAAGTAGAAATTGTATGTTATCTTGAAATAACTTACATCATCAAAAGACGTATGCCAAAATTGATGGAGAATCCACCGAGGAAAAAAAAGTTTGTGAACAGCCTCCAAACCTACAGATGATGCGACGATCTTACAAATGTAATAAATAGTTTGACTGGAAATGAAAAACACGAAAATCACCACACAAGTTTGTTAACAGCAAGTGAAACTTCAGCTGACTACTTAATGACCAAAACATAAGTAGTCGATAGATTAAAAATAATTAATGGACTACTTATTATATTTTTGTAGTCCATGGACCAGATTGGAGAAAGTGAGACAAGTGAGGGATCAAATTGATGGTTTACTAGTGAATTTCCTTTTTCTCCATATGTATCAGAAGATAAGTAATAAAGCTTCTATCAACAAAAAGAAAATTAACAAAAGCCACAGGGAGCTGAAGGATGCTATTGATTAGAGAGAAGTTTTTAACAGCAGAGTGACAGACGACAAAAAAGCACATAATAGTTCCACTAACCCCAGATAAGTAAATGACATGTACGAAGCAATGGTATACATCATCATGAAGTGAATTGGTTACATACAAAGAGGTCGATTGTGCAGAACATGATATTGATATACAATTACAAACAACATAAATATACAATAATCTGGTTAGCAGCAACAGGGTAGTGTTTGATTGCAGAAATAGTTATGCTATAAACAATTCAGAGGTAAAAGCTTGTAAGACCATAAAGTGTTTCATGTAATTTCGCTGATGAATACATAAAATTATCCTCAATCAGTCTGTATATAAAAATTCTCAACACAATCAAAGTGTGCACAAAAAAGGAAAGCTTTAGAATGAATTCAACAGTCAGCATTTTGCAAAAGTACCAACAGTACATTCCTCTTTCTCATTCAGTTAAACCCTATAACAGCTATGAAAAAAGATGTGTTAGTGTCCGAAACCGACACTTGTGAATACATTTAATTTATTCATTTTTTCAAATTCATAGTATTGTGTTTCTTCCTGGTGTCCGTGCTTCATAAACACCAAGTACCAATGATCTTATATTATAGAATTCTAACCTGAAAACGATAGAACACTTGATCGTATAACAGTGCAATGTAAAATGGATTATATAATCCAAGTTGATAAACTGCGGTAGCAACGAAACAAGCTGTTCCATAAGCCTTGGTTATAGGTGGAAGAGATTTATAATACCTAACAAAATACGAAATTTTCAAACACATTAGAGTGATTGAATCAACGATTAAACTTTCCAACAACAAAATTACATAGAAATGATGTAGAAAACGCCATTGGAAACAATGTGACGGAGAAAATGCGATTCTAGGTTACGAATTTGAAAAAGATAGCGTAATTCAGAAACTTACTCGCCGGGAGAAGACATTGCGTTGCGATGAAGATGGTTGAAACGAAACCCTATTTGGTAGTTGAAAGTTCTGAATTTAGATCTTTCTTCTGAAATTGTATCCTAAAGACCCAGAAGGTTCTACTCCGGTTCGTGCACCTCCCTCGCACGTGCATACTAAAAGCCAGTAAGTTAGTGTTTTTTTTTAAACTACCGGTAGTAGACCAGTGCGGAAAATTCATTTTTAAATTTCATAATAACTTTATAATAGTGAATATATTCAATGTCATAAAAATACAATAATTTTTAATATTTGAAGCATAGTATTTTCAACAAAAAAATTTTAATAACAAAATGCAAATAACATTGTAGATTGAAATGATGTAGTAAGACTTGTATGAAGTAAGGGTGAGGATTACAAAACCTACAAATATAAAATAAAATCAATAATTAATGAAATATTATAATTATCTAAAAAAAATATGAGATGTTGAAAGAATGAATTATATAAGCATGAAGTGAAATATAAATTTGAGTATCAAATTATTTTACTTGAAGCTAAATATAGAGATGAAGATTTTAGTATTGATAGTAAGAAAAAATAATCTTATTCAAAAACTAAATTCGTACCTATATGACATTGTAGAAAACTTCTTTGAAGACCACATTTGTTGTTTGAGTTAAGTAGTTCTTGTCTTTGTCGTGTATTAAAACTTTCAATCCAACTTTGCTCTTAACCCTTGAAATGGCAACATAAAGTTGTCCATGACTGAAAACATTCTTTGGCAAATATAATCCAACATAGTCCAACGATTGTCCTTGAGATTTGTTGATTGTCATAGCAAATGACACTATAATTGGGAATTGTCTTCTAATAAGTTTAAATGGCCATGGAGATTGGGAAGGAGACAAAGACATTCTCGGGATATAAATAATGTTTCCAATATTTGTACCTGAAATGATCTTTGATTTAATGACATGATTGTCTAACTTCGTAACTGTTAACCTTCTACCATTACAAAAGCCTTCAGATTGATCCAAATTTCTTATCAACATGATGATTGTACTAGGCTTCAATTTCAATGAGTGGTTAGGTAAACCAGAAGTTTTTAGACAACTCAAAAATTCTGGTGTCAAATACTCGAAAGCATAATTGTCATTAGCTTCTGATCTATCAATGGAATCACAACTCAAATATTCTTTAGATTCACCTACATGAAATCAAAATTAAGTATATATATATATATATATATATATATATATATATATATATATATATATATATATATATATATATATATATATATATATATATATATATATATATATATATATATATATATATATATATATATATATATATATATATATATATATATATATATATATATATATAACAGAATAACAGGTATGTATAAAAAATAGCATGAAAAAATAATATAGTAGTATGTACATATCAAAATAATATATACATATGTACATCCAAAGACACATTCTATGAAATAATCAGAAAATATAGTTATAATAGAAAATGAAGTATACTTGGAAGAAAATTAGTTATGAAGTCATTTATGTCATCAACTATTTCAATAGTTGATGCTAGAATAGCTCTACACTGAAGAAAATTTGGATCCGTATAATTTTGAAGCAGATTTGGATAGGTACTTGAAACAATTGCTTCAATTGGGCCCACAAAATCTCTTATAAGTAACTCCTCAGGAATATCAATTTCAGAATATCCATCATTGAATTCTGAGACCTTTCCATTACCAACTTGTAAATTCAATCTGAGAAGAGTCTAATTTCTTTTGAATTGCCTAAATTAGAACCACTTTGCAAACGCATATTTTTGGTTAGATTCATAACTTTGCAATGATCCCAAATGTAAGAGGCATTTATTGTTGCATGTACTGTATCTGATCTAGTACCTCTTGGAACAACTCGTACAATTTGTCTGAAATCTCCACCAAAAATTACAACTTTTCCTCCAAAAATCTGCTGACACTCAACATCGCCATCACTCATAATATCCTTCAATGACTTATCAAGAGCTTCAAAACAATATTTATTTACCATTGGTGCCTCATCCCATATTATTAGTTTTGTTACCTTTAAGAGATTGGCAATATCATAATTTTTCTCTATGTTACATATAGAAGATTCCAAACATGGAACTGGAATCTTGAATTTGGAATGTGCAGTTCTTCCTCCTGGTAACAACAAATTTGCTATTCTGCTAGATACTACATTCAACACAATATCTCCTTTACAACGCAGAGCAGCAGACAATATGTTCCACATGAAAGTCTTTCATGTACCACCATAACCATATAGGAAAAAAAAAAACATCACCATTTTGATTTGTGAGAACATCCATAACTTCTTTAAAGATTTTAATTTGCTCATCTACAATAAAAAAACAAAACACCAATAGCGTTGCATCATGAAAACAATTTAAATAAGCCAATCAGTGAAATTTTCAAATCTTGAGAACATAATGACAAAAATGACCATATCAATGTGATTAGCATTTATACTTATGTAGTTTTGTGCTAATAATTATAGACTTCCTTATAAGGCTAATTCGAGGCAATAAAAGAAAAGCATAATATTATGAACAAACATAGCGTATGCACTAAATTTCGGATATTGTTTCAATAAATAATTAGAATGTCAAATTATAAAAACAATACATGTTAATGATTGAAACATAGTATGGAAAATTTCTTCTTGAACCGAGAGATCATATTGTCTTTCATCATATATCAATCTATTTCCAAGGAAGTCAAGGATGTAATCATTTGGATATGGCATATGCTTAAATTCTTTCAAACTCCTTCTATTTTTATGTAGTTGCTTCTCAATTTCCATCAAAGTGAGTTGTTGCATATCTTCATCAGAAAAATTCAATTCTACAAATAAAGGTAGAAGTTAAGTAAGTATTGATACTTTGTTAAAATGAACATGTATAGAATCCATAGTGTTGTAAGTAACATAGTTCTAAATGAAGAGGATAAAAGAAAAGATGTTGTTACAAAGAAGCAGCAAATATATAATAATCAAACCTAGATTTTGTGACAATATTCTTTGTTCATATAGAATACCATCTGATAGGCACATCCAAGTATTTAACCAAACATGTTTTGGTCGATTCATTGAAGATGATAATAACATTGTAACAAACAGTTTGCGCAAAAATACTCCAGAACCCCAGTTATAAGCCTTTTTAATTGCGTCAATGAACTCTTTGTCATCTTGTAGGAAGCCCAATGCAAAACATGCCTCTCTAAAAATTTTATGTTTGAACCCATCAATTGCCTTTAAATCATCATAACTTGTATGACCTTTCTTCATAGTCAACAACATCCTCATATAATACAATTCTCCAGTTGTTGGCGGGACCTAAATTAGTCGGCCAATTGTGTAACCTCTTTTACACGGTTTTCAACACCTTTTCTTCTTTTCATAAACAAACTTGGACACAAATTGACCATATGTTAATAACTTTGCTTCTTCATACTGAGTATTTTCCACAAACCAAGAAGTAAACATTGATTATGTGACACTTGGTTTAAGAAGGAAAGTTCCAATTTGTTCAAAATCTTTGTAGTATACAGAATTCTCTCCTTCCATGTGAAAAAATAACCTTTCAACAGTTGGTTTCCTGACATGAATTGAATAAGAGAATATTCTCCAGCATGCTTCGCTTTGTGAGACATATCGACAATCAAGGTATTGTTTGATTTCATCAACATTTCCATCGGTTCCAGTGTTGTTTGGAACAATAACAGCCGAGATCCTATTAGAACCCTTGTTGATGTACTTGAAGAGATATTTAATTGAAGTAATTTGATTGCACCACTCCATATTAATGTGTGCCTCATATTTCATCAGCAAACCTGGGTTGTGGGGTACAACATGACCACTATGTAGGGTGGCTCCATTCTTTTCAATTGTATTACCCTGATCTCTCCTTCTATAAACAGGATATCCATCTTGACCAACAATTGTGACATCTTGGAACTTTTTAGGATAATACTTGGAACATTTACCATCTTTCATACAAGGACATCTAGGATTTGCTAACCCACAAGTGTTAGAACACAGATTGGTGTTTCTTATATCTCTATGTTTTGATGATAACTCTTATGGAATTTTGTATTAAGAAAATATATACTCTAAAATTTGTTCAAGTATTATTGTTTCAGGTATTAAATTAAAAAATCTTAAAGAAGCAAAATACATAAGTACAAGAAACTATGCAAGGCTCTGAAGCATCAGATGCAAGACTATCAGAAGATTCTGAAACGCTGCCAGAAGGATCTGAAGCAGAAGCTACAGAATGATTTGAAGCGTTAATGAAAGAAGTGTATAAAGAGTTGAAAGCTTTGACAATCAGACTCTTATCATTAATATTCACGCTCAAGCACATACTGCTGCATACTCTAATGAAGACTCTGATCAAGATTGAGACTCTGATATATTAAGATCTAATCATCTATCAAGGCTCTGAACATCTCAATTCTTTTAGCTCTGATCATCTTAAAGTATTTCATTTCTTTAAGCTTGCTACAAGTTCTGAAGTGAAGATTATGAAGACTTCATCCTGAAGGAAGCTTGTTGAAGAAGCTGTAAACTTGATTGGACGTGGTGCTACTTCCAAAGTAACCAACGACTATTTTGTCCAAAGAAGTGACGTGGTGCAAATCCCAAGGCTTCTACAACCATACTTTTCTTGCAGAAAGCATATCTCTGCCCATACTTTTTGGTAATGAAAAGTCTTATATTCTAATATAATATTCAGTTGCACATCACTCAAAGCATATTGAAAAGCTATAAAAGGAGAACTTCTACAACATTTTGAAGCTGCTAATTTCCTGCTCATCACTTGCTCATTGCTAGTTCACTCAGAAAGAAATATTCATACACGCTTGATTCATCAAAGTGAAAGTCTCACAAAGATCTTATTCATTTTGTTCTTTCATAAAACTGTATAGTTTTACTTGTACTTAATCTTAAGTGTAAATATCACAGTTGTG